ACCGCTCTTACACCATTTTGTTGAATTTTGTTGTGGGAAACGAAGGAGATCAGGATCGAAGTGGCCGAGAGGCTTCACCTGGACAGCAACCCCCTGAAGTGGAGCGTGGCGGACGTGGTGCGGTTCATCAGATCCACCGACTGCGCTCCCCTGGCTCGGATATTCCTGGACCAGGTAATCACAGGGGCCTGCGGTTTTTAGTAAGGTGTCACGTCAGCAAAGAGCTGTGGGTGAATATTCGGCTGTCGGGCAAGTCATGGTGCGTTTTGGCATAGAAAAAAATACCTCATGACTTTTCTGACAACCTAATAGTTAATATTTGAGTGTTAAGAAAAATGTTTTAACCCCAAATTTTGTTTTATTGGGTTGTCAAAAAAGTCATGATGCATTTTTCTTTTTTCCTTTTCCTTTTTCTTTTTTCTTTTTCTTTTTTTTTTTTTTTAAGAGATTTTTGCTATGGTCAATGCACTCATCCAACAGGCAGAAAGACAGACGGAAAGCGAGAAATCACCACCCCTGACCCCAGGGGTGATGGCCACCCAGCAATCCCTTCTCCTCCATTCTCCTTTCGGGGTCTTGGGCACGCACGCACACACATGCAGCGTGAGTTTCAAGCCACCGGGTCTGGGACTCGAACGGCATTCGAGGACACGAGAGTCCAATGACATAGCCACTACGCCATCATTATGCTGCTTGGTCCCAAGTCATGACATGGTTTTCTATGCAAAAATGCATCATGAGTTCTCTGACAACCCAGGAGTTCCCTTTTGCGGAGTGGAAAGATGATTAAAAGTTATGTATTTGACATGCTCTGTAGCTGAAGCAGATTATCATTGTATTTTCGGTTTTCCTGAGAATTTTATTCCAATCCCTGCCCCCAAATGTAAATGGTTTAAAACAAAACACAAAGCAGTAAGAATTCATTCTACGGAGTCTCTGCACCACAGACGCTGGGTGCACTAACTAGCCCTGCTATTGGTAACTCATTGTATCAAAAGAAACATTTTTAGGGGACTCTTTGAAAATGTGACACAAAGTATTAACTGCAAACCTCAATGTAGTTTGTAATTAATACTATTCAGTAACATTCATAAAAAAAATCTGGCTAGCCCGGAACCAGTAGATGGCGTAATGGTTACATCGCTGGATCCACATAGTCGACAGTGGTCCAAGTCCTGGATCAGCAGCTTAAAACACCAGGAATGTGTGTGTGCATGCCCAAAATCCTAAGAGGAGAAGAGAGAAGAGATTGGGGTGTAGCCATCCTCCCAGGGGGTGATTGCTAGCTTTCTGTCTCTGTCTCTCTCTGTGTCTGACGAGTGCATGTAGCATAAAGCAAAAATCTCTCTAAAAAAAACAAACAAAAAATCTGATGAACTCTTCAAAGATGTTTCGTTTTGAACCTCCTCAACTATGAAAATAAATCTATATCAGTATTTATTTAAGGCCACTGAGTATCAGCAAAACTGACCTAAAAATGGATCACCATTCTGGAACCTTAGCTATTACAGATGCTGATTGTTTTAAGATTTAATTTTATTTATTGTTATTATTTAAATGTATTATAGGGCACGTGTGCTCACCAGAGAGAGAGAAAGAGTTAGCGAGAGAAAGAGTTAGCGAGAGAGAGAGACAGTGAGAAAGCAAGTCACCAGATCCAGGACATGAACCACGGTCAGCCCTGTGGGAGTCCAGCACCTTAACCACCACACCACCTGCTGGCCCCTACAGATGCTCTTTTTTCTTTTATTTTCTTTTTTTTTTTAAAGAAATATTTATTTATTTAATTTCATTTGTTATTGTTTTTTTTTTTTTAATTTGACCAGGCAGAGACAGAGAGAGAAAGGGAAAGTGAGAAAAAAAGCTGCCAGGTCTAGGACTCGAACTGCTGTCAGCCAGGTGGGAATGCAGTACCTTTAACCATCACACCAACTGCCGGCCCCCAGAGGCTAATTTTTAAAAGAAGCTAATCATTATTATAAAAAAAGATAAGGACAATTAATCATAGCATGATTGCTCATAATCTTATCCTTGGTAAAATTGCATTGTTAATTCTGAGGGCTTGTTAGTAGGGAGAACTGTGGAGAAATTTACAGGGGAAACACGAAGACAGAAAAGCACAGGGACCGTGACGTTGACCAAGTCAAAGCCGGCCGGGGCTGCCCTGACTGAGCTGCCATTGACTTCACGTCACCAATACTTCGTGTTTCCTTCCTTCACAGGAAATCGACGGGCAGGCCCTGCTGCTCCTTACCCTTCCCACTGTTCAAGAGTGCATGGACTTAAAACTGGGCCCCGCCATCAAACTCTGCCATCACATAGAGAGGATCAAGTTTGCTTTTTATGAACAGTTTGCCAACTGAGGACAACCAAAGTGAGCTGGATCTGTGAAGCACAACGCCGCGAACCGCACCCGGCTCTCCAGGGGGCTGAAGCAGCCCAGGGCTCTGGGCCCCCAGGCGTCGGCTCGCTCTCTTTGCACTTTCGGGGAAGGAGGACCTCCGCTGAGGAAGCAGCAGCTGTGCACAGAAAGCAAAAGCTCTCTGCCAGTGGAGGTGTGGACACCTCTTGCTCAGCAGGCTGCCGTTTTGAAAAAATGAAGATTGTGAGAAAAGGACTCAAGTAAAAAGAACAAACGTCTCCGGCGTGCGTGGTCTGAAAACAGTAACTCAGGCTGCCGGAAACACCCTTTCGGCCGTGCCCCTTCCTTCTGTTCCTTCCCATGGTAGATTGAACTTTGTCCTCTGCTTTCTCTGTCCTGGAGAAAGAAGACACAGCTTTAAGTCAGCACCGAGTAGGGACGATGCCTAGGCCACCTCAGTGCTTCATTGTCATTGTGTTTTTAAGGTTTTTTTAAATTAAAACAATTCATTTTGGGGATGACTCCGTGGCTCTAGGGTCTTGAATGTATAGTCACACTTGAATCCGTTTTCAAACCTATTCTTAGAAGTTCCTCGGTTGGCTACCTGTGTTGGTGAGTGAGCTCACAGGCCTGTGTGCGGTTTTTAGGATGATGCCATTTTAAAGCTACAAGAACACTAAAAGTGTAACAGAAGTTGCGGGGCGGGGGAGAGAACACTGTCTTACCTGTTTTGTCTCTAGGGCCCTTACTTTGGGTGAAAGTCCGTGGGTGTTCCTCAGATCCACGCTGAAACCCCTTTCCCCTTCTTCCTTTCTTTTCTTTTTTTTCTGAGAGATTTTTTTGCTATAGGGCATGTGTGCTCACCAGAAAGAGAGAGAGACAGAAAGTGAGAAATCACCCCCCAAGGGGGATGGCCACACCGCAATCCCTTCTCCTCCGTTCTCCTCTCGGGATCTTGGGCACGCACACACACGAGCCCAGTGTGAGTTAAGCCACCGGGTCCAGGACTTGAACCGTGGTCGACTACATGGGAGTCCAGCGACATAGCCATTACTCTAATGCTGGCCCCTCTTTGGTTAAACCTTTAAAGTGAATATAATCCGCAGTCCAAGGATGCCCATTTACCACTCAGTATTCTTTTAGGTGTTTCTTTGCTTTATTTTTTAATTTGCCAGGAAGCACATACGCTTGTTAGAGTGACAAGACAAAAGGGAAAGTGAGAAAGCACCCCCTACCCCCAGGGGGCATGGTCACCCCGCAATTCCTTCTCCTCCACCGACTGGCGTGTCCTCCACGCCTTCACATCCAGGACCCTAAACTGTGTGGTCGGACATATGGGATGCAGATGCCTCAAAGCCGAGGCCGCGAGCTGCCCCGGGTGTGTGTGTGCTTTGACCAGCCTCAAGCTGACACGGACCTCCAGGCGAACTTTCATGTGTGATCGCGCCACTAGCCCTAGCACTGCAGAATAGCCTTGCTGTGCTGTTCTAGCCACGAGGAAGGAAGACAGCCACGCAGACCGCCACCTTCAAGTGATCCACTTCGTCGAGTGGTTGGCGTTTTGGTTTGCTTGGTTTTTGTTTGTTTTTGAAATTACTCTGATCACCTGCAAGCTTATAATCTAATCATTCTTCCTTGGAGATTTGAGAATATTTTAAAACTGCAAACGGAGTAAATTCTAAAAAATTGTACTAATACACGGTAGAACAATTGCAAATTTAAAACGACTTTTTAAAATTTTTCCCTCTTCTCTCCCTCCCCACCCATTTCTGGGGACACTGGCGCTCAGTCTGTAGCTGGGACCCTCCCTTCACTGCATAGTTCGTGAACCCCGTTAACTCAAGCCCTCCACCCAAATCGTGTATTGAAGCATAAATACTGCTTAGATCCCGACCAGGTACATCTGCTAGGTCGTCGGGAAAGTCCTGACGTGTTTTTCTGTGCAGAAATGCGTCTTGATTTTCCTGACACCCCAATAGAGAGACACTTCAGTGGGGTCAAAGTTAAAATGTTTGACCTTACTCAGAGAGCCAGTTTTTAAAAGGTGAGTTCTGTGTCCGTAAAAGAGAAGCATACACATGGTACTGGGGAACAGCATTCAAGGGTGGAGTGCGGTCGTCTCGTTTAGTGAACTTCTCTGAGAGCTCAACAGCCCGGGATAAGGCAGAGACGGTCTCTTGAGAAAGATCGATGGAACAAAATAAAAAGGAAAAAAAAAAAAACCTTCTGGAGTTAATGTTTAGAGTCTCATATTACTGTCTTATTAGGAAAATGAAACATAGTTCTCTTAGAAGGAATTTACTGAACTCTCATTTGACTTCTCCAGAAGCCACGGAATTTAGAAGCAGCTCCTCCCCAGATGAGGGGACGGAGCCCCTGGACGGTGAAACACAACCTCCGTGCTGTGATTACCCAAGCTCCGCTTTCTCCTAGAGGAAGGCTGACTAAATTGGACAAGGAGGTGGGGCTTCTCTTAACACTTCTTGCTTTCTCCTATGGGCATAAAGTTGACTGGGCAGTTCCATTAAAGAAGAAGTCCCAGGACCAGCAGTTGGCATAATGGCGGTATCGCTAAACTCCCATGTAGTCGACCATAGTTCGAGTCCCAGACCTGGCGGCTTAAACCCACGCCGGACATGTGTGCGTGCGTGCCCAAGATCCCGAGAGGAGAATGGAGAAGGGATTGCGGCCTGACCATCTCCCATGGGGGGGGGGTGATTTCTCGCTTTCTGTCTCTCTGTCTCTCTCTGTCTTTCTGGCAAGCACATGCCCTATAGCAAAAGACCTCTCAAAAAAAAAAAAAAAGAAGTTCCAGCCTCACTTGCAGGTACTACATAAGAGATGAACAGGGAATATGGCACAGGGCTTTTATTTTCATTTTTATTTTTTAATTTGCCAGAGGGTGTGCACTCTTGCCAGCCAGGGACACAGAGAGAGGGACAGCGAGAAAGCGTTCCTCCCCCCACACCCCCACAGGGCACGGTCACACGGCAGTCCTTTCCCTCCATCTTTCTCCCCTTTTGGGATTTCTGGACATGCATGCACACACGCCTGAAATGTCTTCCAAGCCACGAGATCTGGGACTCAGACCACACAGCCAGCCATGTGGGATCCACCCGCCGTAACCACCAGACGTGGGCTAGCCTAAGAGCACTTCCTTAAGTATCAACTTTGGATTCCAGTGAACTGAGGCTAGGCTGGACAGTAGGGACAGTCTGGTTCCTGTGAGGCTGAAACAGGTCTGACGTCTGACGAGGTCTGACGAGCTGTAACATACGGTGCACATCGGTGCGTGAGCCCTGCTTTCAGAGAACCCAGCCCCTGAAATGACAGGTGCATTGCGAGGACCTTCGCGTGTCCAGATCTCACCTGCAGTTGGTCCCCCCAAGCCTGCCTGAGGTCAGAACGTTTCCCTGAACATGGTTTTACCCTGTGCTGACAGGCTCAGAAGCAGGTTCACAGGCTGTGTCCTCCTGGGCCTTGGCTGGTCAGTGCTGGACTCTTACTGTCACGTGAGTGTGCGGGAAGCTTTTTCCTGCCCGTGCAGCTCGGCCGTGGCGTCCTGACTGTACTGTGTAGACTTCCGGAGCCGGTGCTCCGGTGTTTTCCTTTACAGACCGCCTTCATCCTTTTTGTCTGAAGTGGAGTTAAAGCAGCTGACGCAGAGGATGCATTCGTGTGAAGTCGGTGCCTACCTGTACGGGTGCCGCCTGCAGTACACCCGTAACTGTCAGGCAGGGGTGCTTACCAACCTCTGGGAAAGACGAGCCTCTCAGCAAATTCTGGGTTACGATAGAGGCAGACACAGAAGCAGGTTCAGAACATGGCCTGAATGTGCATGCCTCTTCTCTAGGAAATAAAATGACTCTCACCAACAGAGGAGGGGCATACATTTGGGCCTCTCTGTGTAGCACCAATTTGTTCACTAACGCGGCACCTGAATACAGTGTAGAAACTCTAGGAGGCCTTAGGTGGGTGAGGACTTGGAACCACTCCCCTCTCTCAAACCCCATCGTGTTTCCGAGAGACAGACTCGATGGGACGCTGGGACAGCTGTCAGAAGCACGTACTTTCACTTGGCCCCTGTCACCAAAAGTGCTTCTTAGGACACCGGGCACGGTTTGCTTGCTCCCCACAAAAGGGCTGGGCGCATTGCTCAGAGCTTGGGGACATGGTCTGGGCCTGCGTGTCATGTTCCACGTGCTCGGACGCGTGCACGTGTGTGGACATTCAAAAGTGTCCTGCCTGATTAGGAGAACATTCCTTCTTCGGAAAATGAAGGCGTTGCTAACAGAGATGAAGTATAAATCCCGGTGAGGCCCTTTTAAAAATCTGCATCTCGGAATTAGCAGGTGGCATAGTGGTTAAGGGCACTGGACTCCCACATGGCCGACCTCGGTTTGAGTCCCAGACCTGGTGGATTGCTCGCTCACTCGCTCACTCTCTCACACACACACAGATACACACACACCATCACTCTCAGGGCAAACTAAAATAAATGGATAAATAAAAGTTAAATAAAGTAATTCTTTAGGGACCAGCAGTTGGCGTAATGGCTATGTTGCTGGACTCCCATGTAGTTGACTGTAGTTTGACTCCAGGACCCGGTGGCTTAAACTCACCTTGGGCGCGTGTGCGTGTGTGCCCAACATCCTGAGAGGAGAATGGAGGAGAAGGGATTGCCATCCCCCCTGGGGGTGATTTCTCACTTTCTGTCTCTCTGTCTCTCTCTGTCTTTCTGGCAAGTGCATGCACCCTATACCAAAAAAAAACCTCTCCAGAAAAAAGCCTCTCCTTGGTCCTGTGTCCACCGTAAAGAACTGCGTCGCAGTCCTGGTGCTGGCTCAGAAACTCTAGGACAGGGAGCCTCCTGCAGAAGCAAAAAGCAGTGTCATTTCTTGTGATTGTCATTTTCCCACACCTTTACTTACCGTAAATGCTTCACTTGTGAGTTTTGATGACCCCCCTCACATGTGAGAATGTGCACACTTTAGAAATTTGAATTTATCTGAAAAAGCTCCCCATGACATGGGGTGTGGGTGTGAGCGTTCCTAATCAGGGCCCAGTCCAGAGGTACCTGGTTCCCAGCTCGCCCCGTCTTGTGTTTCCTCAGTACCTGTCCCAGGCCAGGGGTAAGGTGTGGAAGCCGGGTGGTCAGTGCACTGCAGAGTGATTTTCTTGGCTAGGGTGTTGAAGTCTGAGTTTTGGGGTTGTTTCTTTGTTTTCTTCACAGAAACCAGCAAAACCGGAAGTGGAGAGTTGGGATAAAGTAGGCCTAAGACTCTCCTCCCCTTCATGCCGTGTCCGACGACACACTGGTCGGGTCTGTTCTGTCCTGGTGCTATGCCGATCACAGAGGACGGGTTTTAAAGGGGAGCAAGCCACGTAGCCTTGCCAGGCAAGTCTTCAGTGCCTGTAGTGAAGTGTGGACCCCGGGCCACGGGAGCCGAGGGCCTCGCGTGATTTCTGGAGGGAACGGATCACATTGACGAGTGAAACGGGGCACCCCATCGTGGATGGTCCCTGTTCTCAGGGCGTGTGCAAACGGCTGAAGGGTTCCACCTGGTTTAGTCATTCTTACTGCATGCCTAACTTGGCAGAGTGGAGGGGACAGATAGTGTTGAAAGCTGAAGGTGGGCTTTGGGGGTACATGAAGTCGCAAAGCAAATGACTGAGGGAGGTTATGAAGCTTAGGGGATGCTTTAGCTGGACAGTCTTCTCGCAGGGTTCTCTGGGAACGTGGTTTGTTTCTCTTGAGAGACTCAGTGCTCATTTCTTCCTTTTTTTTTTTCTTGGTTGAATATTCTCTGAAGACAATCAGAGGTCTGCCAGGGAGGGACTCCTGGCTGGTTCTAGCACTGTCCTCGGGCCTCTTGAACACTAACTTGTGGGAACTGACGCACTTTGTTTATGTATTTTGCCTTTTTTTTTTTTAAAGCTGCTTGTTTGGAACCAAATGAAATGCGTATTGCAGTGTATTCTTCCTGCTTGCTGCCTGTCCTCCCAATTTCCAAACTCATGCATTGGGAACGTACACTTGAGGAGAAATAGGCCCAAGAATTCCCATGAACTCCCATCCAGTTTAATGGTATTACTTCAAAGGATTAAAAAAAAATTTTTTTTTTTGGATAAATGTTTTGTGTGTGGTTTTTTATTTTGGGGGGTTTTTGTTCATCAGATTGCATGTAAACTTATGGTATATAATGGCAATTTTAGCGGTTGTGAGAAAATTGAAGAAAACAGGGCTGAAGCTACGTTTAACTTCATGTGTGCCAGTTTGACAGTGAGGAAAGCATTTTGGCCGGAGTAAGTGATTCAGAACTCTTCCCACGGGGGCCTGAGAGGATCATTTCTGAATGGATGAGAAAGTTTCTTCCTATTTTCATAAAATTCTGGAATTCTCTTCCCTCTTACTCTCTCATCTTTTCTCTTCTCGATGTAGGTACTCTAATTCCAGTTTAAGAAAGGTAGGAGAGGCTGGCAGGTAGTGTGGTGGCTAAGGGCGCTGAACTCCCACGTAGCAGACCACAGTTCAAGTCCCCGACTGGGGGCTTTGCTTTCTCACTTTCTCTCTCTCTCTCTCTCTCTCTCCTTCTCTGGTCAAATGAAAAATAAATAAGTAAAAAAATCAAGGTAAAATAATTCTTAAAAGAAAAAAGAAAGAAAGGTAGGAAAAGCAGAATTTCCCCACAGTGGCCTTGCTCTGGCATGAGAAGCTCTACCCTGATCCTTGAAGACGGCTTGTTCCTCTGGTGGCCATGAGGATCCCTCCACCTCTGGGTGACAGAGCAGTGCGTGGTCAGACTTCATTTGTAGCTCTGCGTGCGGTTTTCCTTGAGCCATCGTGGTTTTCAAGCAATGAATAGTCTCCTTATGCCCAGCCACAACAATCTTTTCTGCTCACCCAAACAAGACACATACCCTCTTGTTTTTTTGTTTTGTTTTGTCTTGTTTTTTGGAGAGTTTTTTTTTTTTTTTTTTTGCTACAGGGTGCATGCGCTTGAGGAAGAGCTAGAAAGGGACAGAGAGACAGAGAGCGAGAAATCCCCCCGCCCCCGGGGATGGCCACGCCACAATCCCTTCTCCTCCTTTCTCCTCTTGGGATCTTAGGCATGCACACACACATGCTCAGCATGAGTATAAGCCACCAGGTCCAGGACTTGAACCGTGGTCTACTACCTGGGAATTCAGTGACATAGTCATTATGCTAACTGCTGGTCCCCATACCCTCTTGTTTGATTCGCTCTAAGAGCCTCCCTAGACTTAAAAGACAGTAATGCAATTTTCCTTAGATGTTTATTTTCTTACCTTGACTATTTACCCGTGGGCAAAACTTGTGGAGAGTCTTAACTTTTATAAATGAAAATTCAGTTTAAATTAAAAAGCATCTTGTTGCATGATCTTTGCACCTGGCGCCACATTGGATTCAAAAGTCAATAAAAGTCAGTTCCCGCTCTTACACGGCCCACACTCAGCTGAGGGGAGAGACGTGTACCGCCATCTAATTTAACAAAAGACATTCTAGCGAAGCAGCACACACAGGTAATGTGGGAGCACGGGGTGGGAGAGGGTAGGCCTTGAAGCATGAGTAGGAGTTTATGGGCAGGGAAGAGGGGCAGCGAGCAGGCCACTAGCATGCCTTATAAAGGCACAGAGGCACGAACGTGTATTGTAAAAGTGGGACTGGAGAATTATACTTATTTTCTCTGGGTAATCAAGTTGATACTCCATTAGCCAAGGAAACTTTTAGATAGCATTTAACTCTTGTATGTAGTTGGAATTCTTTGGTCTGTGTTATCAGGAAAGCTTTTCCGGAGATGATATGTATTGTTCAACAAATGTAGCCCAAGGTCAACTGGACTCATGCCACATGTAAACCGAAAGGAAGCAGGAAGGTCAGGGGCCTGGATGAGTGGACCAGAGGGTGGGATTAGAGGCCTAGTAGAGGCAGAGAACAGGCCTCCAGGGGGCAGGGGTAGGCGGGGTAGGTAGGGGTGTATGTGTGTATGTATGCAGGGAGACCTTGGAGAATGGCAAATATCAATCATTTTTCTTTTATGAACTCCTTCAAAATACAGTTAGATCCTGGGACCAGCAGTTAGCGCAATGGCTATGTTGCTGGACTCCCACATAGTCGACCGTAGTTCGCGTCCTGGACCTGGTGGCTTAAAACTCACGCCAGTGTGCGTGTGTGCCCAAGATCCCGAGAGGAGAATGAAGGAGAAGGGATTGTGGCATGGCCACCCCCCCTGGGGGGTGATTTCTCGCTTTCTGTCTCTCTGTCTCTCTCTGTCTTTCTGGCGAGTACACGCGCCCTATAGCAAAAACCTCTCAAAAAACAAACAAAAACAAAAACAAAAAAAAATACAGTTAGATCCCTTAAGGGAACAGGTGGGGGATGTGCACCCACCAAGTGTTCGGTATAAACCTAGTGTGTTTCTAAGTAAAAGTGATTGAAACGACCACATGTTTACGGGGTAAAGTCAATTTGGGACCTGGTTAATGAATCTAAGATAATAAGCCTTTGGCCAGGGAAGTAGGAGGACGCAAATGTCTGAGTTGGAAGGAAGACGCCTGTGTGCGGTCAGACTGTTCCCAACCACCTGTTTTAAGAATCCAGCCTGTGGATTCCTGGCCTGAATCAGAATCTCTGAGGGTAGAATCCTGGAGTATTTTAAATAAATTATCCAGGGCATAAGGGATTTACCTTGGAAGGAAAAAAAAAATGCAGTCGCAGCTCCTTTCGACCTGGAGCTCAGGGTTCCTGGACGCTCGCCGGTCTGCGCAGCCAGGCGCACCTGATCT